AAAGATTTTGAAAAGTACATGGGAAATCTTATAATTGAAAATTCTACCTATTAATTTTTTCATTTGTGATTTTGGGTAATACATATATCTTTTCAATTTTAAAACAGACACCTTCCAGGGTTTACAGGAGCATACTTGAAAGTGTCCGAGGTCTTGACATTACCTTTTTTTAAACTATTTTTTTTAAGATTTATTTATGCATAGAGGAGTTGGGGTGTCGGTCAGAGGTGCAAGGAAAGAGGTGAGAGGGTTCGCCAGAAACAATGGGGAGTAAGACAGGCAGATTGATGACGTAGACTGTTGAGGTGAGCAGTGGCAGGCCTGGAGAGGTCTGCTGTGCCATGTGGGTCGGCTCCCTGACTGGGGATTGAACTTGTGAAATGCTGCAGTGGCTGTGGATAGCTTCATAGTGCTGAGAGTTAACCCCTTGCACCACCAGGGAGGCCCCTAACATTGCCTTTGAGGAACCCATGCTGTGATGGAATATATGGGGAGCCCAATAGAGGCAGCAACACCCAGAGTGGGAGGCATATCCCAGAGGGAAGGTAGCCCCAAGGACAGAGGGAGTTTCTGGATCTCACCAGGGAGGCCTATGGTGCTAATTTTAGCCCCTCCACCCCCCTTCATGTGTTCCCACATCAGAGGCTACTTTGATTGTGAGCATCTTCCTGCAGCTGGTGGTATGCTGGGCGCCAGAAGCCCTTGCAAGCCCCTCTGTTACTACTGTCAGTCTTTCAGCATCGTTTGACCACTGAACTTATGCTTATGAAATACTAAAAACATACAACATAGGATTGTACTTACCAAAAACCCAATCTCATAGGAGAAAATACCCATAAAATACAGATGACCCCTGATAAAGAAAAATAAAGTATAAGGAAGATTTTGCAGTCAATTTGTACTTCCGGATGTACTTACTATGCCCTTCCTTTGTGAAAATGATCAACATTTGCATAGTAAAAGGTCCAGTATTTAAAAAATATATTCCCTGATCTAGATACTGTCCTCATGTGTAAAAATATTATGAGCATAATAGTTTCAAGGTAACAAATTTCTATAAATTACTTAGCCTATAAAATGTGCCAGTACTTAGAATATGTAATGGTCTATAATTTGTTATTTATTCATGTTTTCTTTACTCCTCCCACCACCATATTAAAATGAAGTCTAGGCTTCATTCAAAGCTTCCTTTCTTCCAGAAGTGCCATCATGGAGCTAAAGAACTTTGAAGGGCAGCCCCACCCTCAGTGTCCTCGCCCTGTCTATGTGGCACCTTGGCACTGATGTCATTGCTCTTTTGTCTCTAACCTGAAGGCCTACTTACTAAGTGCTTGTTTTCTGCCAACTTGTGTGGACTTTGTTAGTGCTGGTGGAATGACACCTTGAGCACCAACGTAGTCAGTTTCGTATCTGGGGGTGAGGGATGGGTGGGCCCCACGTCACTGAGGACCCACAGTCGTGTCTGTGGGTTATTGTGTCATTCCAGCCAGTAAACACCTTCTAAAAGATGCAAATGTCATTGACTTGGGGGCTTTGTATTTTTTTTTCTTAGATTTATTTATTTATTTATGCATATAGAACTAGGGTACAAGCCAGAGGTGCAGGGGCAGTGAGAGGCTTCACCAGAGACATAGTGGGGGAACAGAACAGACGAAGTACACTGCTAGGGGAGGAGCGGGTGGGTCATGAGGGGTCTACCGTGCTATGTGGATCACGTCCGGGGCAGGCAGGGATCCAACTCGCATTCAAGTGGCTGAGGCTCATTGCAGTGCTGCGTCCTAACCCGTTGTGCTACCAGAGAGGGCCCTGTATTTGTTTTTAAAATAAATCTTCGAAGAATAATAATTATAATTATTATTATAATTATAATTAATTGTCTTTGCTATGGCTAATCCAACCCTGGGTGGTTGAAAATTAGCTATAGTGATCATTTATAAGCAGTTGTGTGCTTCAAATTCAAGAGAGAAAGATCTGTGAGGAAGAAGCCAGGAAGCCAGCAAAGGCATCCTGAAAACTGGAATCCTGTGGGCATCCTTGGATTTATATGGGGCTAGGAGACAGTGCCATTCATGCCTGTGAACATATCTTGAAGTACCTGCTTTCCTTGCTTGAGGCATGGAGGGGGTGGAGGGGGTGGGGGGGGAGGGAGAAAGAAGAGCCAGAATAAAAGTTGGTTCTTAAGGAAGCTTCCTCCCTCAGGTCTGCAGTGGGTGCTGGTTCAGGGGTACAAGGTCTTGCTAAATGCTCTGACAATGTAGTAGTCAAGTCATGTGGGGAAAACCTCATCAGAAACTTCACTGTGAGCACCTCCATTGAAACCTCTTTTTTAATCTGAGTCTTGAAACCTTAAGATAAAAGCAGGTCCTCCCTCCAAGTCAAATTGTTGAAGTAGTCACTAAGTTGTGTCCGAGTTGTGTAGGGATTGATAATCATCTGAAAGTCAGGGAAAAGTTTATTTTGACCAGTGAGAAATCATTTGGAAAGGTTAAGAGAATCTTAGAAAGAAGAGGCAAGACCTCATGAGTCTGACCTTGAACCTGAGCTTCCTGCTGTGCTGACCTTTCTGAGTCTCTTTTACCCAATGCCTTGTTTTCCTCTGGAATTTTTTATGCTTTTATGTACATTTGACTAGTTTATTAAGTTTCTCCCTGTCTGCTCATTATTATCTTTTTCTTTTCTTTTTTCCATGTTATCTTGAATGCATTAAAGTTGATTTATTGTTTCGTTCTCCTGCCTGTCTGTGTAGTTAGCTGCATTCTGAACTTCATTATCTAGTGGCGAAGGCTTCCTCTGAGTAAACCAGATTCCCAGAATTAAGTGTTTCAGACACAGGCCTATCAGATTTCTTCTTGATCCTTGGGCTCATGGTCTCTATGTAGAATTTCTTCTTTCTAAACCCACAGTTGTATGTCTTCAGGGCTTCTCCTGCCCGTTCAGGTTTGAGCACCCCTGCTCTAGAGGGTGCTTAAGGGATGAGGGCTAAGGAGAAATGTGAGGGCTGGGCACAGTCAGTCAGACTTTCTAGGCGGGAGGGAGGGAAGAGGATCCCTCTACTGTCCTTGCCTTGGCTTCTCTTGGCCTTAACTTTTAAACATAATGTTATCTTTCCTCCTGTGTGTCCAGTGAAAAAAGAGTGTCTCCTTTTCCAAAGCATGCAAATTTCTTCCCAGTTTAGTATAATGAAGAGGCGCCCCAAGGGAAAGAGAGGCTTAAATTGGGCTAGTTCACAAAGCTCCATACCTTTTCAGTAATAAACAGATTTGAGGGGGAGGAGGGGAAGCGAGATGGTTTTTTTTTTTGTTTTTTGTTTTTTGGCATCAAAAACAGTCTACTTAAACCCAGCAGTTTGTCTGTGTGTACCGCAACCATATTGTGGCTTTAAGTAATGAGTTCATGGCTGTCTATATTTCACTAGGCCCTGTTGACAATTTTTTTTAGCTTTGTGAGAACTTTACAAGGGTTGATTTCCCTCTACCCCCTCACCATCACAGGCTGATTGATTCCCTTTTAAGTTTCCTTTCAGTCTGGATTTCTGGAGGTGAACCCCATGTCTCTATGCATGGAAAGATAGGTTTCTGACACCATAAATCCTATACCCTCCTAAAATCTTGGAACTGATGCCAGCTCCTCTTGAATGTAATGCTGGTGTATTGTTGACTAATGTTCAGGTCAGTCTGTGTTTGAATAAATACTTTCTTTTGATGACTTTTGCAAAAAAAAATGATGCAGGAAGTAGTACCAAACAGGTTTTGGGAGGATAGAGGAAGAAGCACCCTAAAGATTTTTCAAAGCTCCCCCTTAGCTACTAGCTAACTAACCACTAAGCAACTCATAAACTAGTTAGTGGCATTTCTCTGTGGCCCAGGATCTCAGGGCTGGAAACTTACTTATGTCTCTCCTCTCCAGGTTCAGTTATCTGAATGCAGCATCCATTTTGCATGTGAAGAAGGATTCTGCTATGTGGAGTAACCCTGTGTATAGATGACATGCACTTAAGTCAGTCACACAGGGAAATATATGATTTCCTAATTCTACTCTTTTGCATTTCCAGTACAGGTGGGATTTCCCATTGTTCCCCAGCCTTGGGGGGAAACAAATGTTGAAGATTTCCTCTGCCTGGTATATCTGGTAGATACCAGTCACCTGGATGCCCAGATGGGCTCTTTTCTTAACTCTTTTTCAATCAACCAACTCTGTTGGTTCCTTCTAACTATATAGTTGTTCCTGTGTATCTGAGAAGGATTGGTTCTTGGACCCACCTGGTATCCAAATTGGAGGATATTCATTACTTTATGTAAAGTGGTATAATATTTGCATATAACCTGCTCACATTCTCCTATATAATTCTAATTATCTCTAAATTAGTTTTAATACCTAATACTATGTAAATGTGATACAGTTGTGAAACTACATTGTTTAGAGAATAAAAAAAGTCTGTACATGTCAGACCTGACTAGATAGTGCACATTTTTTGACCCATGGTTGATGGAATCCATGGATGAGACACTGTGGGTAGGAAGGATCACTGTACCTAACCAAATTCTTAATAAATTTCAACCCATCCTCTTTTGTTTTCTAATTCTCTCTTTGTTATAAGGCTTCTCTTCTCAAAGTCCTTTACTTGGATCTAAGTTTAATAATTTATGTTTCAAAAAGTACTCACATTTATTTAAGATAATTCTTTTCTTTAGAATGAATATATAAGATTTCAGTCACTATGTAAAAATCAGAGCTTTGGAAAGCTATTACATAGAAATGACCTTATTCACTGAATTTAGGGGAAAGGAAAGATGTTTTGTTAATAAGAGGCTTGAAAGAATGACTACTGGCTATAATTTATAGTCACTGATGTAGATGAATAATTGAAAGGGGAAAAAACTCTTTAGAAGCAAAAAATTAATTGCAGCAGCCTATTCTGCTGTGCTTAAGCATGTGCTTAAGCATGTTTTTTACTATTCATTCTTAGATTCAAAGTAGCATTTTTTTCTTTCTTTAAACAGTTCAAGTAGATGACCTTGAAGTCTTAGAGAGCTGTGATAAGAAGACATCGAAATAATTCCATTCCTGAAGCAATGATTAAAATATCATTATGGTGAGTATTTGAGGAAAGAAATATGAAAGCTTGTGGTTAACACATTTTGGTGTTGCCTGCTCTCTGAGAACTGGTTAAAAGTATGTGGTGAAGGGTGAATGTATTTGAATCAAAATTAACAAAGCAAAGTGCTGAGAAAAATATAGCTCTCTCTGTGCTGAGGTATGGGAACACGAACATGTGGGGAGAAGGAACCAATCTGAGAAGTTTGCATATGTCCTCAGTGGACGTATGTCCCAATGTGCCTTTTAGGAAAACTAAATATTGGGTTTTTCTTTTTAAAGTGAGTCATAACTATGAGAGAGCTTTCAGCAGTTCCAAGTTAGAGCTTTTAGCAGGGAGTAGAGCAGAGAGAAGTGGAAGTATCCTAGTGGGAACTGTGCTATCTGAGGTATCGTTGTGGAGCAGCACTCCTCAAAGAATGTTCTCTGGAACACACTTCCCTGGACAATTAATGCAGATGGGGGTGAGAAGACAGGATTGTATTCCAATGAGTTTAAAAAATATTGGATTAAATCATCTTCCTTACTAACGGATACCAAGAACTAATGAGCCACATGATTCTTAATGGGTGGGTGTAGTTGGTAGTGTTTACTAGAGTACTATGGAATTCTTTTCTTGTGGGGGATCTTGAGAACAGTGTTCCACTTGTTCATTAAATATTTATTGAACACCAGCCATGATGGTGTTAGATGCTGTAAGTATACAATAAATGAGATTGGCAATGTTGTTTATAGAGAGTAAACAAGGTATCTAAAAAGCAAAAGTAATTACTGATGGGCATAATATCAAGTGTTTAAGTGGATAGTCCCTGGAGTTTAAATCTGAGTCTGCCTCTTACGAACTGCATGATCCTGAATAAGAAATTTAATTTCTCATTTCTATAGATATTGGTAGAATGGTGATCAAAGAATTTACCAAGAAAGGTTGTCTAGAGGATTAAAACAGTTACTCCATGTTGGCAAACATTAAACCCTATACAAGTACTATCAAAATGTGTACTTAAAATGACAATGACTGAGTGCTCTGAAGGTTATAAGATAGATAATAGAGTTGTGCAGGACAGCCTTGAAGTAGAAACTTGAGACGATGAGAAAACTGTGCTAGATAGCAGTAGTGGGGAGAACTTACCAATGGGAAAGCTGTGTAGAAAAGTGTGTCTTACTCAGAGAACGCACTTACAAAAATCCAACACTCCGTGATAAAACAAGACCTAAACAACAACAAATTAGGAATTTGAAGGGAACTCCTTCAACTTGAAAAGGGAATGATGAAAGACCTACTTCTCACATCATTCTTAATTGGGCAGGGCTAAAAGCTGTCTCCCTAAGACCAGGAACAAAAACAAGGATGTCCTCTCTCATTACTTAAACTCAGTGACAAACTGGGAAGTGCTAACCAGAACAATTCAGAAACAGTGTGAATAGAAAACCTTCCTAGATATAAAAAAGTAAAACTGTCTATATTTGTGTAATATGTGAACTTGTACACAGTAAATTCTAAGGAATCCACTAATCCAGTAGAACTAATAAACACATTCAGAAGGTTGCAGAACACACATTAGAAAACAAAAATAATTCATTTTGCTATATATTTATATGAATACCCTGAATGGGAATTAATGAAATAATTCTTTTATAATAGTATGAAAAAATAATATACTTAGGAGTAAATGTAACTAAAGAAGTAAAAAGCTTGCATTCTTAAAATTACAAAACAATGTTGATAGACATTAAAGTAAATCTAAATAAGTAGGAAAAACACTGTCTTCATGGATTGAAGACTTATATTGTTGAAATGTTAATATTTCCTAAATCCTGCATTTAGTGTACTCTCTTTCAAATTTCCGATGGCTTCTTTGCAGAAATTGCTAAGATTATCGTGAAGTTTACATAGAAATTTAAGAGAACTAGAATAGTCAAAACAATCTGAAGAACGAGCAGAAGTGTAAAACTTATACTTACAATTCCAAAAGAAAATGAAAGTACAGTATTCAAGTATGTTAGTGTGGTACTGGTATAAGGGTGTTCCACAGATTTTTGGAATAGAGTTAATTGATCAGAAATAAACTCATACATTTATTGTGATTGATGTTTGACAAGGGTGTCAAGAGAATTCAATGGGAAAAGAATAGTTTCTTCAACAGATAGTTCTGGTATAACTGGATACCCATATGTAATAGTAAGGGGTTTGGACTCTACCTTACACTATATACACAAATTAATGCAAAATTGACCAAAGAACTAAATGTAAGAGCTACAGCTGTAAAGCTCTTAGGAGCTAACATAGGTTGTTAACCTGGATTAGGCAATGATTTTTTTTTCAGATATAACACTGAAAGCACAAAGGGCAAAAGAAAAGTAGATAAGACTAACAAAATCAAAAAGCTTGTGTATGAACAGAAATTTTCATTAAAAAATGAAATGCCAAAAGGAGACATTAATTGCAGATCATATACTCTGACAAGAGAACTGTATTTAGAATATTGAGAGAGCCTCCCTGGTGGCAGAGGGGTTAAGAGTCAGCAGTATGAAGCTATTCTCAGCCACTGCAGCATGAGTTTGATGATGCCTAGCCCAAATGATGTGACAGACCTCTCCTGTCTTACCCTGCTGCTCCCCTCAGCAGTGTGATTCAGTAGTCTGTTCTGCTCCCCACTCTGTCTCTGGTGAATCCTCTCACCCTCTGCACATCTGGTCTGCACCCCAATTCTTGTATGCATAGTAAATCTTTAAAAAAAGAAAAAGGGATATGTAAAGAACTCTATAGTTCAGTGATAAAAAGATAACCCAATTCAAAAATAGGCAAAAATATGACTAGATATTTCTCCAGTGAAGATAAGCAAATAGACAAGAAGCCCATGAGGAGACTCTCTGTAGGCCTATTAATCAGGGGAATGAAAATCAAAACCACAGTGAGATACCACTTTATACTCACTGGAAAAGAGAGAGTAGCAAATATTGGTGAGGATATGGAGGAATTGGAACTGTCATACAAAGGTGGTGGGAATGCAAAATCTTTCCAAAGCAGCTGCTTTAGAAAATAGTCTGAGAGTTCCTCATAGAGCTAAACATGGTGTTTCCTTATGATCCACCATACTCACCTGAGAGATATGAAAACATAGGTCTAAAAACACAAATATTCATAGTGGTATTATTCAAAATAAGGGGAAAAAAAGGAAATAACCCAAATGTTCATTCACTGATGAACAGACTAATAAATTGTTGTCTAATCCATCTGATAGGATATTTTTTGGTAGAAGAAATGATGTGCTGATATATGCTCAAATATGAATGAGTCTGAAATATGCTACATTAAAAAGGCAGACACAAAGACCACATATTGTATGATTCCATTTATGTGAAATTTCCAGAACAAATAAATCTGTAGAGAAGAAAGTAGATTATCTGGTTGCCTAAGACTGAGTAATGCTAATGGGTACATGGTTTCTTTGGGAAGAATAAAAACACTTAACATGGCCTCATAATGATTTTATAACTCTGTGAATACACTAAAATCCATTGAATTGTATAATTAATTATATATCAATAAAGTTCTGTATATAAAAAGATTGATCTTATAACTGTCAGCACTGGGTGCTGAGATATAGGGTTGAGGACGGAATTTGGAATGACTCCTCAGTTTTAGCCATGGAGAAGGCTTTTGAGAAGGAAAGGCCGGGAGAGGAAGTTTTTGTTTTTCTATAGGGAGAGCCAGCTTTGGGAATCCACAGTTCTAATGTGGACATGAGTTAGCAGTATCTCGTCAATAACCAAATAGAGTGATTAAGTAGACAGTGGAATGTGAGTCTGGAGCTTAGGGGCACTCCTGTTTGGAGATAAAATGTAGATGTCAGGCAAATTCCTAGGAAGGGATGAGGAGAGAGAAAGAGAAAGTATATGTGTATGTGCATGACCGTGGCCTGTGTGTATGTGTGAGGCTCAGAATGGTAGCCACAAAGAAAACAAACAATTGGCAAGCCAGGAAGGAAGGATAGTAGGAAGCATTTTGGAGGTGACTGAATTTCAGGAGGAGGGAGGCACCCATAGATTTAGGGGCTACAAAGAGGTAAGTAAGAAAAGAACTTCAGTGTCCATTGGAATTGCCAAGATGGATATTGACCTTGACAAGATAGCTCAGTATTGGAGACTCCATATTGAGAGAGTAGTGTGAAGGGCTGGAAGTGGAGGGAGTTTTCTTCAACTCTTTATAGAAGCTTTTCTAGACCTACACTCTAATGAAAAATTGTTCTGGGATCTTTTCTGCTTTCTTGAAACATCTAAGTGTTGGTATGAATTTGAAGGCAATCTCTCTCATTTTTTTTTTTTTTAAGATTTATTTATTTATGCAATGCACACAAAAACTGGGGTACAGACCAGAGACAGAGTGGGGAGCAGAACAGGCAGATCCACTGGAATACATTGCTTAGGGGAGTAGCAGGTGGCTCAGGAAAAGTCTGCCACGCCATGTGGGTCACCTCCCTGGCCGGGTATTGAACTCATGCTGCTGTGGCTTTGGTTAGCTTCATCATGCTGTGCTTTAACCTATTGTGCCACCGGGGAAGGCTCACAAATCTCTTTTTTCCCCCTAAGATTTATTTATGTGTACAGAACTGGGGTACAGGCCAGAGGTACAGGGGCAGCGAGAGGGTTCACCAGAAAGAGAGAGGAGCAGAACAGGCAGACTGACAAAGTCCACCACTGAGGGGAACAGTGGGAGAGACAGGAGAGGTCCGCTACTTCATGTGGGTCACCGCCCTGGTAGGTATCGAACTTGTGCCTAAGTGGCTGTGGCCAGCCTCACAGTGCTGGCTGTTGTGCCATCAGGAAGGGCCCTGAAGCAAACTCTTATTGGTGTGAGTCCTGCAATTCGGAGGCTGCCAACTTGTATGTAGAGGTTGGGGCGGGAGGTTTTGCTAGTCTGGGGTCCAGAAAGAGTGTCATTTTTTTCCCCTTTGTTCTCTGATTTCTCTCTCTCAAAAGCACATACACAAATGCCTG